GAAATTTTCCTCGAAAGAGTATGCTTGTGCTGGATCTAAATTTTAGTCTACTACTTAACCTCTGTTAGTATAACCTTGGCCAAATTACTTTGTGTATCCTCACCTGCTAAAACAGAGCTGTAATGCCAAATGTCAATGTTAATTTCATAAGCTGATGTTTATGAAATTAAATGAGATAACTGTGGAGGAAAGGCTGTTCCATGACCTAACTGCTGTTTACCCTGTGAACTGGATCATGGCCAGAACGGAGTTGCTTTCTGTAGCCCCCCCTCCCCCCTTAAAGACTGATCTTCATTCTGACACAAATCAATATCCTTCCTTGCTTCCTGCTATGTGCTGGTTCCTGGAACAGGTAGGTTGTGGTCCTGACCTGGTCAAGCATGTAATTTCCCACATCTGATAGTATTCAGGTACCAATACCTGTGATAATTGCCTCCTTTACCCTGTATAATTATCTGATGCCTGGCAAGTACTGCAGGGATCCATTTTGTCTTGCAGCCTCCCAAGACATTCCATGTATGTAAGCTTCCCTTAAACTCAATTAATTACCAGATAGGAGTGGCCACCCTTTTTCTTTGGTCATTCTCTGCCTTTTGCTTATGGAGGTAGCTTTTCAGTCTTGGGGTTTTTCCCTAGGTCAAACGTAACAGAGCATGGCACGTATAACAAATAAATGCTCCCTCTTGGATCTGGTAGGAAAGTAAATAAATTACTCTTGCATTCAATTTTTTACGTGCCCCCCTTTTCCTGATTAAAGAGTGTACTTAGTTTAGAAGTAGTTGTACATAAATATTCATTCAGATCACAACAAAACTACTTAGAAGGAATGTTAAATGATCAGCATTGGCCTAGCCCAACTCTCGTTTTGTTTTGTTGTCTTTTATCATCATGTAAATGCCTTGGTGTAGTTCTGTCCAATTTTGAGGCACACTGTGTCCATCTGAGAGAGTTGGTAAATACAATACCTTGGTATCAATTAGGCAAAACTGGTCACTCCCTCACCTGTATAACTTTATACATCCTTTCATTTCACTTCATCCAGAATTCTAATATAGCATGCAGTATACTGTTACAGTTACAGTTCATTGAATTTATGCCTTGCTTTGTTTAAAAAAGAACTATGGCAATTAGTTACATACTTATGTGTTTATTTCCCTTCCCAAACTGAGAGTTTCCTGAATAACTATGTCATATTTATATACTACTCTCACTGGTGAGATGATCTGGGTAGAATTTGAAATGTGCTGTTATAAGCAAATGAGCCTAATATAAAGTTGAGGGGATTATCTGGGAATTTATGTGAAAATTACAGACTCAGTCTGATTCTCTTCTTCGGTAGATGAGAAAACCAAAGCCTGGAATAGTTAAGTGATTTGCCAGAGGTTATCCAGCTAGACTCTGAAACTCACATCAACCAGTCCAGAGGCCAATCCACCATACTGACCTGCTTTTCAGAACCCAGTAATTTGATGTCTCTCTCTATTGCTTCACTAAAGCTGCTATTGTTAGCCATCAAACACTTTTGTGTTACTAAATCCAGTTGCTGCTTTTCAGCCCTTCAAATACTTGACCCATTTACGGTCTCTGACTCTGCTGACACCTTCTCCATCTTGCAGTGCTCTCCTACCTTGGCTTCAAAGAGGCATTCCCCACCTAGTTCTTTCTCTCTCTGGCCATTAGTCCTCAGATTTCTTTTGGGCTTCTGTTCATCTGCCACTCCTTTTTAAAGTGTTTCCTGGGCTCTAGCCTAGGTCGACTATTGTTTCTTCTATTTTTTCTCCCTGATTGATCTCTTCTATGCCTAGGGCTTACGTTGCCAATTGTAAGTTAATGTCTTCCACATCTATTTTATTTTAACTCAACATCGCTCATCACAGACCTGTGTAATTGTACTACTTTTTGGATATTTTGCTCTGGGTGTGGAGGTTCCCCACACCAAGTCACAGTCACAGTGCAGTAATCTTGGAGGCAGCCTAATTAATTGCGCCCTTCTTTTCCAGATAAAGAAGAATGCAGCTAGAGACTAACTATCATCTCCACTATTGACTGCATTAGTTTCCTATTATAACAAATTATCACAAGCTTGGTGGCTTAAAACACAAATTTATTATCTTAGTTTTGGAGATTGGAACACCTAAAATCAAGGCATTGGCAGGGCTACGTTCTTCCTGAGGGAAATTGTTCCCTTGCCTTTTCCGGCTTCTAGATGCTGCCTGCATTCCTTGGCTCCATCTTCAAAGCCAGCAGTACAGATTCTCCAAATCTCTCCTTCTCTCTGATCTCTGCTTCCATCATCCCATCTCCTTTTCTGACTCTCTCCTGCATCCAGCCCAGCCTGATAATCCAAGATAATCTCCTCTTTTCAAGACCCTTAATTGAATCACCGCTGCAAAGTCCCTTTTATCGTGTAAGGTTAACATATTCACAGGTTCTAGAAGAGTAGTACATGAACATCTTTAGGGGGCCATTATTCTGTATACTGCAACTGGCAAAGTTAGTACTGGATATTACCTGTGGACAGAGAGCTTCCCAATGCCAAACTCTGGAATTAAATAGGTTTACTAACTTTGCAGCCCTGGACCAGGCACCCTCAACCCCACCCCAAGATAAGCAGAAGAGAACATCAGGACAGCTGTGTGAAGGCAGCTTTCTTTAAAGAGAAAAAGAATGGGATGGGTACACATTCTTTGAAATCCCAGAAAGTCACTACTCCTGGGAGGAGTGAGTTGGGGTCAGGTGCAGCCAGAGGCCACAAATATTACATTAACGGATGTCACTCCCTACGGAAGGAGACATCCTGAGTGGAGGGCAAGTGATCCCCCAGTAAACTTACCTATATTTGAACTCAACACCATATCCCACAAGTCTAGCCACCCTCCTAGGGCTGCCACCACCAGTCACTTAGCTCAGAAGCCTGTGGACAATGGGAAGACTCACTTTTCTTTCCACCATCTACCCCAGCACCCGTCTTAGAAATCTGGCCTACTCATTTATTCCCCACTCAGGGCTGTCCATCCTACCACCTTAACTGCGCACATCTATCCCTTCCCATTGCCAATGACTTGTTTATGCTCATGACCTCTTATCCGAATGCAGCAATGGCTCACAACTAATCTCCCTGCCTCAAGCCTCGCACTTCCGGCCCACTTTCACTTCGTTACCTTTACTCATGAAGCTTCCCTTGCCTGGAATGATGCCCTTTCCAGTTACTCTCTCCCAACTCCCACACTCTGGTCCCCCAGTTTGCCCAAGCGTCGGTCATAACTGACTCTCCAACATCAGCCGGGATCAGACTCGACCCCGACTCTAAAGTCCGTGCTCTTAATTGCTCTTGCTCGACTGCCTTCCCTTGGGACAAAGCTTCACACAGCACATCGGCATGCTTTCTTTCAGCCTCACGACTCTCCAGGGCAGGCGGGTGAGTAGTTAACCCTGCTTGCAGAGTGGGACATCTGTCCGTCACCCCGCGCCCGAGTTAACGCGGGCCCCTCAGCCGTCTTCCACATTAAGCTCGCGCTCCGCCCCCTCTGGCTTGACCCCTTTGAGAACCTTCCTGCCCTTCGCAGAAGTAGCCCACGGCTTCCGCGCCCGGCTGGACGGGGCCGCTGCTCTCTCCACCACAGCCGCCCTGTCAATTCGCGGGCGGCGATCAAGCTGGGGACCTTCCCATTCGCAGTGACGTGGTGGGTGACGCCATACAGTGACGTGTGGTGACGTAACTTACCCGGAGCCAGGTGCCGGAAGGGCAGCCACACCCTGGGGCCCCTGCTCCGGAGGGCTCGGGTCGGTCCGGTAGGGAAAAAAAAGGCAGTAAAATCCGCCTGAGGCAAACTCCGGCCCTAAACCTTCGCGTCCCGCCGGCCCGCCGCCGACCAGTTGCTAAGTGACGCCAACGCGCCGAAGC